TATCGATAAAACGGTAGTGTCAGAAGCAGGACCAGAACCTCAGATGCTCAATGCCATAATCTAAGTAACAAGCACTGCCTCACATATATGTTTGTTTCTTAAACTTAATTAAAAATAAAATTTTATAAAATTTTTAATTAAAATAATTAAGAAATTTTAAAATAATTAAGAAAGTTCACTCTAATCACTCTTTTTTCAAAAATTTTCCTGGATTAAACATATAAAATGATATCCCTTTCTTAACCTTGAGTCCTCAACCAGAGGCTTAGGAGTTTAAGGGTTCTGTGCGTTATCCTTATATACTCATCGTTTTTTTGGGCAAATTTCTTGGAATCTGTCGAAGCCAATTTTGTATTTTAGAAGCCACAAATCTTAATGTTCCTAATACCACTGACACTATTTTAGTCTTCATTTTCTACATCTTCTCTAGTTCCATCTTCAGCCCCTGGCATTTCTCTGGCTTCTTTCTTCGCATATTCCTTCTTCCTAATATTTCTGGGTCTACTGCCACGATTTCTAATTGATCGGCCATTACTTGTTTGCCTGTCTGGATGAAGGAGTTCCACAAGATCTTTGTCTTATTTTTCTTTGCGATTTCCGAGCGATCCATGATATGGCCTTGGTCTAATTTGTATACTGAGCAAATATTTCTGTAGACAGCACCAAGTACTTGATTATACCTTTCACTATTACTGCTTTCATTCTCATCCTGCCACTATATGTTAAACAATTTTTTAAAATTTTTTTAAGACTTTTTTGTGCAATCTGTACCTTGAGTTCTATCTGAAGTGGTAGGTGAGTTTTATACCTGCTTTTGTGCTATTGAGATCAACACCTTAATGCTCTTTTATAGTTTTTTCCAATCATTGACAGGATTTCTCAATGACAACCACTTTAGCTATCTGTATCTATCAATACCATATTTCATCGAGGATATTGTGAAAGTTCACCAGCACATCTTCCTTTGACCATCGTCTCCAAAGTTACCATCTCCAAAGTTCTATCTTATTCTTTGGTGCTATTTGGCTGTATTTCTTACTACTTCATCATGATTTCCATGCGACTGAGGGATACCAAAATGCTTGTAGCTAATCTGTATATCCTCTATATATATTGCTAGTTCCATCCCTGATTATTTTCTCTCTTTACCATCCAGCTACACTTCTCTCTCAATGTCCTCGCTATATATTCATGCTAGAATGAATAAAAGAGTCAACATTTCGATTATTTTTAGCATATAATTTGATGCCATCCATACAAAGATGGTTGATGGTAGCTCAACTTTCAACATATCTGTTTCCTGTGTTTTACCTTGCTGAAAGCGTATTTTTCGCGATTTGAACGAGTTTAGATCTATGCAAACAGTAACAGAGGCATCATCTTGACATCTCATCTCATATCATATCATCTCATATCCTACTAGAGCCACTTTTTTAACTTAGGACCATAAAGGTCACATCAATACAATACCATTGTATATCTCTTTTTCTTTTTCTAACAGCTCTCACCACTACTGGTTAGGCTGGCTCCAACGGCTACAAGGGTAAGACGTTTCTAAGCGGTCTAAGTCTGATGATATCGTCGACAGTAATGGAAGCCATTCCTTTTTCCATCGTCTAAGTCCATATATTGCTGCTCCAGCTATATGTTCAAAATCTTTTCGCACCGTATCAGTCCAGGTCTTGATTGGCTCACCTCACTTTGGTAAGCCAATGGCCTTAAGAATGGAGGCGGCGACTCGATTAGGCGACAATAGGAAACTATTCTGCCTTCTTTATAAAGTAACTATGACTTGGGGAACGATCAGTGAAATGGTAAGAGATAGCAATGGCGCACTGATCAAAAGTACTAAAAATCGCCTTATAAGATGGAAAGAATTCTTTGAGGCCAAACTTAACGCCTCTGATATAGCTGATATGTTTCCCGAAGCATACGCTTGCAATTGCGAGCCTTCAACAGAAGAAGAAATAATTTTAGTTATCCATAAGTTTAAGGCCAATAAAACTTTAGGAGAAGATGGTTTTCGGGATGAGCTTTTCAAATGCTGTCTATCGTCCATAACGCACCTTCAACAAATATACTCTTTAGTATGGAAAAAAGAAATATTACCAGATGAATGGAGCAAAGCAATTCTGCTCCCAATTCTCAAGAAAGGTGATAGGACATAGTGCGATAATTGCGATAATTATCGAGGAATCAGCCTACTAGACGCCTCAGCAAAAATTTTTGCTTCCTTGCCACTTAACAGACTTATGGAAGTACGGGACCACAGGATGCGCCCTAATCAAGCTGTTCCAGACCAGGGCGCGGTTGTGCTGACCAGATATTTACCTTAAGAAGGATGTTGGAACATCGCTTCAGATATTTGCAACCCACTGTCAGGTGTTTCATCGATTTTGCGGCTGCTTTCGATTCAATTGTTAGAACGGTCCTCCGGAGGGTGATGGAGCTTAATGGTATTCCAGAGAAGATCATTCGACTCATAAAGATATTTTGTCAGTATCGGCGCAGGTCTACATATATGAGGACAGATTCCTTCGAAATAAGAACAGGAATCCGTCAGACCTGCGTCCTTTCCCCCACAATATTCAATTATGCGATAGACTGGGTAATGGACACCGCTTGTCGGCATTCAAGCGGTGTCCAAATCAATCCAGAGCATCGTATCACAGATATTGAATAAGGTGTAGTCCTTTTTGCTGACAGTTGCCGAAATGCAAGTGATACTTGTAATAAATAACGTGTCAGAAAGCAAGAATCGGATTCAGGATTATTAATGTAAATAAAACGAAAGTCTTTTCGTCTTATGTGCAAGAAGCTGATAAAATGTTTCTTTTTAAATTCATTGCCGGTTGAGGAAGTGCCCGATTTCAAGTACCTTAAGTCCACTCTAATACCAAATGGACAGGCAAAAGATGATATTAGAACTCTGATCACGGCAGCTAGAAATGCGTTATTCCAGTTTTTATGGAGTCGTCCTAAAATCACCATAAAAATGAAAGCTCACATCTATATAGGCGTGATCCGTTAGATCTTGCTATATGGTTCTGAAAACATGCCCAATGAGGGTGGAGGATATTAAGAAGTTATCTGCCTTTGACCATTCTTGTCTAAGGTACATATTACGGATACGTCGAGTGGATAAGATATCACAAGATCGCATCAATACCATTGTATATATAAATATAAAAGCTGGAAATGCTAAGATTAGCATATTTCGATTTATTCGATTTTATTATTATTGAAGACTGAAATTCCTAGCTGGTTAACTTCTCAGTTGTTATTTGATTTATTATATTTAAATTTAGAAATGAATGAACTTTTATCGACATGATTTCTTTAATAAAATTTCTTAAAAATTTAATAGAATAGAATGTATGAAAAATAAAATAGTTGGATATATTCACAATTTTTCTTATTTTTTATTTTATTTTTTAGTTATATGATTTTCATTTTTTTATTGAATCAGTTGGAAAAAGCGATAAAAGCATATTTTTCGCGATTTGATAAAGATCATGTTCTAGGATTTCCGCTTTTTTTCATTCAATTCCATTCAACATCCCTTCTGTGTTTGATTAATCTTTGACAAAATTTATGATACCTTGTTGTTAATTAATATCTCATTATTTACTTGTCTTCCTATTGAAACAATCTGATCTATAGTTATTTTGACGGAATCTATTGGTAATAAGGCAAGATGTTTTCCAATCTAATGCTTAACATTGACTGCAGTCACTCTTTTTTCCATCCGCATCGCTGGAATCATCTATGCGATCAAAATTTCCTTTGATCGTCCAAATTTTGATTGATCTTTCTTTTGACTGATGGTCTAAAAAGAATAGAATATTATGATATTTTTGATGCAGATAACAATCCAGCAAAAATGGAATCATATGAGGCTCTATATTCGCTTGCCGAGTTAAGAAATGTTTTGAGTAATATCAAGGATATTAATCAAGGATATTTTATTTTTTGATATCGTCCACTCTCAATGGTCATGTTGCGGTATGCATAATTTCGTGAAGCTAGTTTCACAATGATTCCGGAAATCTTTGAAGTTGTAACTAATCGAATTGGAACTTCATTTCTTGCTAGATATAAGAATAGAACCGCATAGATTTATTCAAGGCCTGACATTCTACAGACTATTGGTAAATTAATTTATGGAAATCTTACGATCCTACGACAGTTTACTCTATGAGACGAAAAGAGCTTCTTCTAATTGTCGTTCTTATATTCACTCCATTCTTATGATTGTCAGCGAAAAGAATATTATTACTAGGGTATTCAAGATCCATGATACTGCGCTCTGGCTGATTTGTGCATTTCTTGAGCAAGTGATAGCCCAATCTGTTGAAAAGTTAAAAATTGTAGGAAATCTAAAGAAGGGCACCCCATTAGTTTTAAAATGCAATAAAATGCTTTAACAAGTCTGGCTACTCTCCATGGAACATAGTCGTATTGCACGCCTTTGCAAAGCACTGCCTTATCGATAAAATCAAAAACCTTTCTCATTGTCAAAGCTCGGTCAAGCCGCAACCTAAATCTCGCTTGGACGCTTCTTACCGTCGCGTATAGTTTGATTAATTCAGTCGCCATTTACCAATATTCAGTAGTTTAATATCGGATATCAAAACTACTGGTGGTGGATAAGGCTACAGTAAATAAATCTTTTAAGTCTTAGATCCTGTACATTAAAATTTATGTGCTTCCGCGATGTTCTATATAGAATTAGACAATAAATAATTCAGAATAATAAAAGATTATTTTCAAATTTCAGTCAAATATTTTAATTAATTAGCCAAATTTTAGGTTTCTTTAATTTTACCATTTCACATCGCTCATTTCATGAAACCATCATTTCCTTGTTATGCCGATCGCTTTTTAAGTTTTTTTATTAGTAATTCTTCGTAATTCCTTATTATTTTAAAATATTCTCTCGTTTTTTCTTCAGTTGTTTTTTCATATATTTTGCAGTTTTTTCGATTTCAATAGGAGTGATGCAGGAGAATTCTGTGAATCCAATTGCAGTTGCAACACCAAGTGCGGGTAACGTGCTGGTCCTCCTAAATACTTTATATACATCTGGATTTGCATCACATAGTCCAAGTCAACCACTACTCAGCGGTACTTTTTTCTCTTTCTTTCATTACTAGCCTGCCACTGACTTTCGTTATGCAATCATTTTCTCTCTTCTCTTTTATTGCGCTTTGGTTACATTTGCTTATGACTTTTGAAAAATTCAAGACTAAAGTTTTTGATTTTCATTTACATCTATTGGAGCTTCACTTAAAAATTTATTTTATTTTTTTTCTGCTTTGGTTACTTCTATTCACAACTAAATAAAATCATTTCGCCAGAGAGTCACTTGAGAAAATTGGTTTGGTTTTAAATGATAGGTTTACTTACTTTTTTTAAAGGATATTTGTTTATATTTGTTTATATTTAAATAGCAATTCATATTTTCAACAAAACTGGCCGATTATCGGTCATATTTTTACTCTATTTTCTATCAGATTTTATGAAATGAAAATTTTCTAGTTGTCTTCTCTTCTTAAGGCTCTCAGAAAGTTTTTTTGCCTGATCAAGATGAATAATATAAACAGAAAATAATTCGAATTTGCATTTTTTTATTATAACAAGGATTATAAAATGCTTTACCAGGCTTCAACATTCTTTAGATTTGATTAACTGGGCACTCAAGAGAATCATAGATTTAATGCAGATTCAAGCTCCAAAACAACCATTTAAAATTCAATGTTTCTCTGCGAATTCCATAATTTCCATTTCATTCATCACGCGATCTTTGGCGATTATAGTATTTGTTGAAAAAAATTCTTGAAATCCTGAAATATGTAATGGCATTATTACCCATTAATCATTTATTTTTATCGAACGATCAAGAGAACTAAAAGCGAAATTATATCAAATCAATGATTTAACTTCATGAGACGCAAATTTTTATGGCTGACCAAAATTACTAAAAATGATAATGACAATTAATGAAACTTTATTGTTTTTCTAAATATTTACGATAATGATAGTGATTGGCCAATAAGTTGAGATGCTTTTTTTACAAATTTCGGATTCATTAATTAATATAATTTGTAATATAGGATTAACATAATTTAACACCCATATTATCTCAAAAAATTGTAGTAATAATTCCATAATGAATATATAAAAAACTATATGATTTATATTCAATCATTCAGTTTAAAGAATAAAAACTTAGGGAAAACTTACATTATCCCAAAGGAATAAGAATTTTCAAATTTTAGCAAAATTATCGCCATTTTTTCGTTCAAACGAAGAAATTTGATAACAAGTGGTGATCAATTTTAAGGATTTTTTGTTATTATGATCCCATTGAGTATATTATCTGCCAGTTTTTTCCTTTTCTTATTGAATTTTTGTTTGGCTCAATTTTGTTTTTCTTAAACCTATGTTTATGCTTCGTATGTTGTTCGATCTCCTATAGTAAATAAAAAATTGATATAAAAGCACGAAATAAATGCGAACGATACACATGGGAATTCATTTCGTAAAATCAGAGAATTTGTTGAAAATGTAGAAAAATAATATTCTAATAAATAGTGTTAATGTCAATTGTTGACTTAAATTCCATTGTAAAAAAAACAAAATATAAAATAGAATATAAAAAAAAACTATACGATTTACATTCAATCATTCAGTTTAAAGAATAAAAACTTACATTATCCCAAAGGAAAAAGAATTTTCAAATTAACTTTTTAATCCAGCGGACCAATCCATTTTATATATTTGCAAACTGGGAGTGAAGCGATTGCCTAAAGAATATAGATTGTCAATGGCTTCGTCCGGTGAATCCTCTAAATTTTTTAAATTATTTTTCCGGTAAAAAAAGAAATCTTAATCTGTTCAAATAAAATAACAAATAAAGTTGAAGGAGGAACATCTTTTACTGGAAAAGAAACAAACCTGGAATGGTAGTGAAATTTTCAGGGCGGACAATGCACACATTATATGCGATAAGTTTTGTGATATACTCTGTATCATGTGTGGTTGATTGGATTTATGCATATTGCACCTTGAGAGGATATGTTACATCATTTCCATTAAAGACGGAAATAGTTGTCGCTTTAGTTTCTATAGCTGTAATTGGATCAATGCTCAATGCTTTATTGCTTGTTAGTTCGTTTTCTTTCTATATTTCACTGATTCTTCCCTTTCATTTCACAAATTTCTCAAAAATTTCACTGAAATGAATAAATAAAATTTAACAAAAATATGACCATGACGATAACCGTTATCTTCCATTTTCTCATTCTTACAATTTCCATTAGTAATTTTTCTTTAATATAATAATTTTATAAAGATATAAGAAATTTCCATTTAAATTCTCTTTAAAATCGATTAAAAATCATTCAATATAGTAAAAAAAGATTTTAAACGGAAAACGGAAAATAGAGTGCTTAATGACCAGAAATAGCATCAGTTGTAAGGATCCTTCTTCCGGATGATAAAACCTTTATACAGTTCGTGAAATTAAAACGAAAGTCCGCATCTATATAGCCGTGATTCGTTCGATCTTGCTATATGGCTCTGAGGCATGGCCGATGACAGTGGAAGATATTAAGAAGTGATCTGCCTTTATCTGCCTTTGACCACTCTTGTCTAAAGTATATTTTACGGGTTCGCCGAGTGGGTAAAATCTCACAAGATCGCATCCACCTTCGTTCAAATACCACTTGCATAAATAATGTTATCACAGAGTGCCGTCTTCCTGGTTAGGGCACATTCTCGTCCACCACAGGAGTTGACGCATATTTCGTTATTTGCTAAACCGTGTGACGATTGGCGTCAAAAGCGAGGAGCGCCAATCAAGACCTGGATTGATAAGGTGAAAAAAGATTTTGAACGTATATATGGACCAGCAATATATGGACTTACACGATGGAAAAAGGAATGGCTTCTATTACTATCGACGATAGCAGACCGCCCCCCTTAGAAGCATCTTACCCTTGTAGCTGAAAGAGCCAGCCTAATCAATAATGGTGAGAGTTAGAAGAAGAAGAAGCATCCATTTATTGATGTTGATAATAATTTTATTTCCTGCATGCCATTTCTAATGGAAAGACAATCCTAAAATTTCTAAGCTGACTGGCGCTATTCCACTTGTCATTAGATAACGCTGGTCACCTCAGTCTTTGTCGCGGAACCTTGTTAATCGGGTATCCGAGCCGGCATGACTCTGGTATGCGACACTCTCTCATAGGTAGGACAGCAAGCATTAAGGGGTCTTACCCAAAAAACTTTTTAATTTCCAGTTAAATTTAGGTATTGTGTGTAGAGAATGCATTTGCTTATCGCCTGGGCATAACACCATATCGCAGTGGTTTCGCTTTGATTTTAGAATCATTTATCCAGTGGATTCAGGTACGTTACTTGGTATATCGAGATATACATATACAATATATAAGTATATTTATCAGGAATTCGATAATATAATGTGAAGGTTGATAATATAATGTGAACGTTGATAAATATATTTGGAATAATCAAATAATTCTGATAGAATATCGTAAAAATTTCTTATATCGATCAGTCACAAAACCTTGTTGAGTTTCGAAATAACATTTTCATGCGAAAGAATTGGCATGAAAAAAATATAGTAAGATTATTCTGATATAATATACTGATATAATTATGCCTGGCGAATAATTTTATCATTGCTAGCCTTCATAAAACAATTTTTAATAATTGTCGTCAATAATTTTTAAATTATAAAATCATATAAAATTCTATAAAATTGTGTTATAACAATAAAATAAATTCATTTATATGAGGTCAAGAAAAATTCGATGGCAAATACTTTATAAAAGAACATTCAAAACAAATGGGGCAAATGATTAAAAAACATTGATATTTTCTTAATCTCGAAAACATTGTCGTAATTTATAGCCCGAATTGCTTAATAATTACCTAATAATAAGAAAGGACAATTCGATAAATTTGTAGCTCGAATTCTCTGCTTTATATTAAGAAAGGGCAACTCGATTAAAAAAAAAAATCACCAGCACTTAACGATAAGATGACAAGGAATTTATCAAAATGAACATATAGTAATAACTGTGGTTTTAATAAATAAATGATAATTTTCCAACAATAAATCAGTAAATTTAAAGACATCTACTTGAATTTGCAATCACTAACAATATAGAAACTATTCCATATAAAAAAATTAGTGCCAGTGGTTGGAATCTCCGACAGGAGGAATAAACTTGTGAGATATGCTAGCGATCAACCTGTATTGCTACCGCTAAATGAATTCTTGACAAAAATTTCTTGCCTAACCGTAGGTGATTAGTGCTAACCACAATCACTTAATTTAAATTTATTTCATCAAGAAACATTGCTTTTGAGTCGAGGCACTTGATTCAATCCGAAATTAAAGTCATTCTTCAGATCCAATTGAACTAATTCTGTGGATTAATAAGAATTTTTCAGGCTTTCAATAACTTTAGGATAGTATTTCTTTTTCTCGCTGTGCACGATTTTCCTATTACCATTATTAATTTCTTTTTTATAGCTGCCTGCCGTTGCGTTGGGCCAAAGGTTTTGTTTTAACAAATTATCCATTTATATTTTTATTTGAAAATAAAATTAAAATTTCAAATTTTCAACAGTTAGATTTGCTATTTATAATCTAAGAGCTTAAGCTTAAAAACTACATAAATACAGTATGGATGCATAGCAAGTAAGTACATTGAAAGTAGAAATAAAATAGAGACTTTTAGAAATTTCTTTAATTGCTAATTTTGTCGCAGGTTTGGCAGTGGCCTGTAGTGATAATTACTTTAACTACAACTGCGAATGTTATTTGGCGATTGATTATGCTATACATTGCATATCAAAGAATGATTTGTCCGATGAAAAAGGCCACAAGAATTACTTCATCAGTGCACAATCCTTCATTCATGGAACAACTCAAAGCTAATACAAGCCAAAAGTAAACCTTCAAAATTGATTAACAATGTCACTATTTATTTTTTTTCTTTGTTCTAAAATTTGGCTGATTCTACTAATCACTAAGATGAAATCATTTCGCTAGGAAGTTACTTCGAGATGTAAGCACAAGCGAGTCCTAATCACCATACGATTTTCATTTATCAGAATAAATGGCTCGAGGAAGCCATGATATAAAAGCCATACGTACTCCATTTTTACTTGAATAAAAAAGTAGTGAAGAAATTTGCTTTTCAAATTTTGAAGATTACAATATTATTTCTTTTGGTCGTCCATATGCTACGATATGTTGCAGAGGAGGAGGGCGTTTGAACGAATATGATGAATGTTGGCCAACTCGATATAGCTATCGCAAGGTTTTCGGTGATCCAGAAGCTACTGAGGGTCGCGAAGAATTAATACATTTTACAATGCCTCAAAGTAAATTAGCGCGATGTATTTGCTGTAATATATTGGTCTTACTTGTTTATAAGGTATAAATTTTTAATTAGATTTCGCAGAATCCTATATTGAAAAATTCGTCAAGAAGATCTTATAATAGACTTTTGTTTTTAAAGGGATTTTGTTAAAATGGAATATTATTCGGCATAGATAATTTTTAAATTTGCACTTTTCATTAAGATCGACAGTTTATTTTACCGAATTTACAGGAAGTAAACTTGGGTTATAAATGAGATTATTCATTGGAAAGTTTCAAGTAAAGTTTCAAGGATGGTTCTTATCATTCATCACAGAGAGGGCATCACTAGCCTGAAAATTTAACATATACTATTTTTGATTACGCGAGCTGCATTTAGGATGAGGGATGAGATGGTGATTTGAAAATAGAAGTGCAAAAGGGCTCTCAAAATCGGCCTCTATATCTACCAAAAGCATAACGCATAGGAAGATGATCTAAGCAGTGAACTATTCGGTCTTTATTTATCTATAGTATGATTTAATTTTAGAAAATCAACGGAAAAGTACAAAATTAAACTAAATCGGATTTTAAATTGTTTTTCTTCAAATTAAAAATATGCTGCGTAATCGAAGAGTCGAAGAGCACTTTTTCCATTTTTTTCTCATTCGGCGGTTTAAAAGCCTTTTATTAAATTTATCATTAAGTTTAAACTGATTGAATTTTTTTCTGGTCATTAAAGAGTAGTTTTTTTAAGAACTTTTAGTGGAACAATTTCCATTGGTCTTATTGGTTCAAAATTTTAAATTTGCAAAAAAAAGTTTATAAGATTTATAAGTTTATAAACAATAATATATAGTATAATATAATAATAATATATATAATAATAATATAATAATATATAGAATAAATAGCCTTGAAAATTTCAAAACAGTTTTGAAAATTTCAAGAATTGGCAATTTTTTATTCAAATAACTTTAATTCTTAAGATTTTAAATAATTTGAATAAATAATTTACTAATTAATTTTAGATTCTATTGATATTTGTACGATGCTTACGTTTAATAATTTTTATATTTCTAACAACTGTTTTATACGTATTATCAGTTCTATCTTGTTGTTCGCCTTGTTGCTATCATTACATTTATAGTAAGTATAGCTTTTATCATCGACACAAATGCTCTCGATCATTTATCAGGTAAAGCTTAACATTACACAACATTGATCTATAGCAACAATCTATAAATAAAGAAAGCTGTTCCATTAATCACATATTTATGACATCTCATGATATATAAAAAAGTAGAAGCATAGTAAATCAGATAATAAAAAAACGAATATCGAATTCCGATAGATAATAAGATCGAGTTAATTATTAAAAATGGGCTAAATGGGCTTTAGGCTCAATTGCAAATTATTTTTTCTACTTTATAGAAATAAATTTCGAAGATTTCCGAAGTATTTTTTGTTGAATGAAAGAGAAAATTTTGAAAACATTCTGCATGTAATTAAATTTTTTTCTTAAACCGTCTTTTTTCCATTTAAATTTTTCAGTTAATTCGCCGATATACGTTATGCATTCTATAGAAAATTAATTCTAATTATACTAATTCTAATTAACTCAAATTATGCTTAAGCTTTAACGTGGGTGAAGAAATTTGTTTATTATGGTTGTTTCGCTTCACTAATGGATTTTTTACATCTCAATTTTTTATAAGACTGTAGAAATGGGAAGGAAGATATGATATTTTTATAAGACTGTAGAAATGGGAAGGAAAATATGATATTTTTATAAGACTGTAGAAATGGGAAGAAAGATATGATATTTTTATAAGACTGTAGAAATGGAAGGAAGATATGGTAATATGGTATTTTTATAAGACTGTAGAAATGGGAAGGAAGATATGATATTTTTATAAGGCTGTAGAAATGGGAAGGAAGATATGGTAATATGGTATTTTTATAGGACTGTAGAAATGGGAAGGAAGATATGATATTTT